AATTAAAGGCAGGAGTAGTATATCCATAATACTGTTTCTTATTTAATTAGTATGCTCTGCTTTTAATTAACCCTTATGAAACAAATCAAGTTTGATCAAGTAGATACATGGATGTAGAAAATATTGAAGAAATATTTTCAGATATAACTAACTTTTTTGATATCCAGCTGGATTTGATTTAGTATATTACTGATTGTAATATGATTGTATAACTGCTCTCAAATAATAACTTTTTATACAAGTTGTCTTTAACAGCTGTTCTAGTCTAGGAAGTCAAACCTTCACTGATTTTTTATTGAAGTCGATGTATTCTTTTATAAAGAAACAGGTGATATTTTTTATTTTATTGATTTTTGGTCACAGTTGTCAATAGTATAGATAGAGCAGACTGGTAGGTATGGAAGTTGAGTTTGATATTTTGCAGAAATAATTATAGGGCCCACCTATTGGAAGAGTTTGAAGCTATGAAAGCTATTGTGGCTTGACATGGTCACCCCTTAAATATTTTCAATAGCTGGTGTTAATTTGAATTTAATTCAATTATTGGGCAAATTTACATGACACTAAGAGTTTTTATTGTATGCCAGTGCATTAGGTGGAGGGACAAAGAAGGGACCACGTACGTGTCTGTGCCAGGTCTCACAGCACCAAGCAAATTTGAAACTTGTGGAGGGATAAAGCTGGGCCAGCCTCATTTCACACTGTGGTAAAACCAGAAGAAAGGACACATAATTCTTTGAATATATTTGGATATTGATAACTTTCAATATAACTGTAATTTTGTATGTCTCATAGTGTTTATTTTCACACTATTACCACCCTTCCTTTTCCAACCATTTTGTTTTGTTTACGTACCTACATTGCTTAATTCCACTTACTTTGATTGGTCAGCTTTTACCACACCCTTCCAAAAAGCTAGCATAACATAGCGGACAGTTCAATGCATTCTCCTAGAAGATTACAATGGATGCAGAAACATTACACATAAAATATTCTTAAAGATAACGCTGATCATATTATATATTTCAGGTCATGTATTAAAGATAAACAATGAGCCCCACTGGCCTACATATTAATAAACCTTTAGTTGTAACCATTATAGGGGTTATTTTGACTCTAGGTGTCGTATATAAATATTCTGATACATTAGGATTAACCAAGTCAAAATCTATCAAACTAAAAGCTGACAGTATGACTGGTACTGGCAGTGCAGTGAAATTAGAATTTTCAATACCAGATGATGTTTTAACTAATGCTAAATCAGTGAAAGTTGTTGAATCTACTGTAGAAGTTCCATTCAAAGACAAGGTTAGTTACTATATTTCACATGCTTCATTGAAATAATTCAAAATATGGAAATAATATAAGGTGGTTAGTGTTTGAGGTTTACCCAAAAAGTTTTTACCCTCATGCAAAAAAGTTTCAGCCCTTAATATATTTGAAAGCTAATTATAATTGTAATAACTGGTGGATCTGATATTGTGGGTTTCATCACCTTCTGAAGAAGTTTTCAACTTTTTATGAGAAAAATGTTATTAAAGGGAAAAAAAGATTTTTATGTATTAAATGGAAAGAAAAGGAAATTGTATCGTATTAATTTGTTGAGTTATTTTTGTTTAGATCGTTATTTCTACATATTATGTTATCATCCCCATTAGCATTACAATATCATGTTCGGTTTGAAGATATCTTGTGACATTCAGAGTCTGAATCTAATAGTAGTATTTTTTTAATTTTATATTGTGGTTTCGTCATTACTAGTCATAATTTAAAACTATTTCAGAAAGTCAAGATATTTTTACAAAAACCTAAGACAGATGAAAATAAATTATCAGTATTATTGTTACATGGTCAAGCATTTACGTCTAATAATTGGAAGGAAATAGGTACTATACAGTTATTGGGTGTTAGTGGTTATAATGTCATAGCTGTTGATCTACCAGGTAATCTCCACACTTAGACCTTACCTGTAATACTTTTCAATCATGGAAAATTAAAGTAATTGATTTGAGTGCCTGCTAAGTTCATAATAACATGAACAGCAAATTATCCTTTCACAATTTATGTTTTTTTTATTGTGAAGTCAATTTCTTTTCTATATATTGTCCATAGCTATTTCAATCTCTGTTTGACAAACATATTTATATGAAATTCATTTGCTTTTAACTTACTAAGATTATCAAATTGTTTGATATAAGTCATCATTCTTTCTGAATTTTAGAATGATAACATTATTTTCAAAATATAGTCCGTATATTTAGCCTCTAAATGGTTTTATTAAGTGTTGATAAAATGCATTAACTTCGATATTCTTGATATTAATTCGATTATCTTTTAGCGTCAACATCTTGAATCAATCTTGAGTCAGGTTTTTGCATTTTACTGATTTTTTTCGCTTGAGTATGCGTTTGAGATTTCTTCAAACTAGTTAATGTAAAAAATGATTGCAATAGATCTTTTTAATTATAGCCTTGCAGCCATAAGGTAAGGAAAGGACCTATTTTGTTGTCACTCTTGATGTTTTTACAAGAATATCTTATCATAAAGAATGACAGAACATCTTATAATGGATAATTTGATATATCAGTGTTGTATTGTTTTACTTTGATAATGTCTACGTTTGGTTTTAGGATATGGAAAGAGTGACTCTAACAAAATTGAGGGTGAAAATAAGGGAGAGTTTTTAGGTGAATTGATAAAGACATTGAAATTGGAGTCACCAGTAATAGTTAGTCCCTCTATGAGTGGAAGTTTTGCCTTGCCTTATTTATTTAGTGGTGACGTTTCTATTCGTGCTAGTGGCTTTGTTGCCATAGCTCCAGTTGAACCGATAAATATAAAGATAAATACCCCTCTAGCAAGGTAAAGTATGCTACTTATAGGTCAAGCAGAGATATTTGTGCAGGGATAATTCAAAATTTAAACTTGAAGAGTTGATTTGATTTTTATATGGAGTGTGGATAATGATATCCTTAGAAGAACATTAATTTTTATATCCTTAAAGCCCCAAGCAAAAAAACATTATTGGTCAAGTTAAAATAGTTTATGTTTTTTATAATATATCGTTTTCCCTTTTCAGATAAAAACCTTGGTTATAAGAGGATCAGCAGATGAAAAATTAGGTATTGCAAGCGAGGAAAACCTAAAGACAATACCAAACAATGCTATTTACATCATTCCTAATGCAGGACATGCTTGTTATATAAACAATACAACATATTTTCATAACATACTTTATGGTTTTCTTAGGAGCCTTACCAAATAAGGAGACTAATTGATAATACAAATGACAAATGGAAAGTAGCATAAACGCATTTAGAATTAATACTGAAGTGGGTACTTGGGAATTTTTAATTTTCTATAACTATTACTAATTGTGTAATAGTTGTAAATATTATATTCATATATGCATGTTGAAAATTATTTATTGCTATTTGTTTTGTAAATCTTCACACAGTTAATTAGTAATGTATGTTTACATTTCTTGTCCATTTTGTTAAAATAACATATTGGTTCAAAGTGGGACACTCACAAATGAAATCCATTTTCATGAAATATTAATTGTATTTTTCTGTTGTTAATATTAAGTTTATCTGTTGATCTATTTTTACGACAGTCTAGTCAAGTATGTTATTTTCTAAAATGTAAGGTAGATAAAATGTGCTATTCCATCAGTATCTTTCCTAATATAACTCTTTTCCTTATTGAATAATTCCATGCTAAGCAAAATTTGTTGCTTACAACCTTCTTATGCTTATAATAATAGTACAGTTGTATTCCAATATTGTAATTGCTTCCATGCCAGTTTGCCTTGAATGATATCTTTAATATAGTTGTCAGAACCTAATCAACAGTCAGACATTCATCATTATCTCCAAAAACCTCTGACATGAAGTGAACTCATTTAATATACTGTTATTAATTAGTCACTTCTCTATATGGTTCTTCTTTCAGGGCTAATAGACAAGATATTTTAATACTCTGTTTTTCTCAATTTTATTTTCTTGTGTTATAGTTAATATGGAATTCTTTACAATATATTACAATAATTATAAATAATGATTAACAAAATAATATAACAGGGTCAGTGTCACAAGTTATCTGATACATATCCTTCCAAACATTTCAAAGACTGTATTTGTCTATATCTATACTGTAAATAAAAGAACTGGTCACAAAGACAGGAGTTGTAAACTATTACTGTGAAATTTACAAACAATAATTTATTGGTGACACTGGCCCATTCAACCCAACCCATGCATGCATTTTATATGACAATAAAAATAAATCATAATTTTAAAAGATTTTTGGTCTTGGTTTTATATGCGACAGATATAGATGTGAATTTTAGAGAGCAGATAGATAGAATCTCAAGACAAAGTATATCAATACATGTACTTGTTGAGTGAATGCAAAACATATCAGGATGTGCATATATAGCTTTGAGTAAGATTGCATGGACGTCAACTATGAATAAACAAATGAAAAGCAAACTACATAACCGGATATGGAATGCTTGAAGTATACCACAAATTAACATATTATATTGATAGATGAATTAAATAGAACTATTAACAAATAAATGCATTTGTCCATAACCCACATACTACAATCTAGATTGCTTGAATTGCAAGGCACATAAAGGTATGGCTGGACACGACAGACAAAATAATATCAACTGAAATAGGCAATGTTATTCTGATTTCTTTTATAGAAAAATAAAGAGTATTAACTTAAAACCAGTGTTGAGAAAGGAAAATGAAAACAGTTGGTTACATTGTAAGTTTACAGGTACAACATCTTTAACCCTTTTAACACTAGCAGCCTTGACATTGACAACATAAATTAAAATTGTCTTACTTGGAGTTCAAGGTATATAAGGTGATATTTCATTTCAATTGGTGTTCAAAGGGTTAAAGAAAAAGATTCATAATGGTTAGAAGTTTTCAAGAAGTCTCAACACCTGTATTTCTGGGACTCATTATAATGCCACTAGAAGAACAAACGTTAATGTTCAGTCTGATTAAGGGTCAAACTCACATTTACATTTTTCAAATCATTCGTAGTCCTAATGCATTGATACACTAATTAACAAAATCTTATCAATATTAGCAAAATAAACCGCACAGTCAGTTCAAGAACCTTAAAGAACACTTTGATTTCAATGATAAAATTAATTGTACATATCGTACAGACATTTCAATGTAAATGATAAAAGATTGATTTTACAAAAATAAGCCTCTCTATTTACACAATTAACATAGATAATAACACAGCACAACTGGGTCCTGCTTATTTTGTTATAAGTATGGTATTGGGTATTACTCAATGTAATGTTCCAGAAATACCATACTAACCAATAGTATACACGACCAATAAATGTACATAATGATAAAACCATATAGTTGAGATGTTGGTAAATATATCACATTAGTATAATAGTATTAGTACATTTCTCACATGGACTATTTAAGATTCCTTTTTGAAGAATTGTCATTGCTTATAATGTTATTATTCAGTATACAGGCATAAGAATAAATGAATATACTTTACTGTCCAGTGAATTGGTCAAGTATCACTATCACACAGTACCAAAGTTTCAAATTGTTTTGTTTCTACTGGAAATTCGTAAATTTTTTTTATTTAAATAGCAAAGTACTAAATCTGATGGAATTCAAGCAGTGCAGGAAAAACCTAATTTCAATGATGGCTTTCAAGAAACAACTTCATAGCTTATAAATTTAATTCACTGATAAATAAACGACACCTCCAAAAACAAAGGAATTTCACATTTCCCAACAATGAAAGCACCATTGTAAATAAATACACCACACTATATAAAACACTTGGTCACCATTATACAATCATTAGTCGTCCTTTACAATATTTACATGGTAAAAAGTTACGTTCAGTAAAAGAAACTTGTTCCACTAAATTAGAATGTCCTATTTCAGATAGTAAATGTAATATTTTATGTGCTGTTTGATCCTCTTCTACAGTGCCAGTAGTTTTAATGTTATTATTAGAATGGCTATCAGGGGTAGGTGTTGAGAGGGTGGGGCTGGGGTCACGAGTTGGGGTAGTTTGTCCACTATGTTCATGATCACAACTAGTATCAACACCACCAACTATTTGTTCTACTTCACTATTATCACTCTCATCTTCTGAACTGGTATAATCAGGCCAATCACCTACAAAAACAAAATAATTTCCATTCAACTGTACATTACTTATAATTTGGGATCAAACATATTTGGCCATGAGAAATAGGCCTACCAGCTTTTGTTTTTTCAGTACAAAATAGTGAACTGTTAGTATCAACTATGTTTTTCCAAAATTTCCAAAACTGGGTGATATTGTTCACTGTCACTTGAGGGAAATACAATATCTACAAGTAAAAAATATTCCTTATATCAAAACTGCACAACCCTTCCTTCAATATAATCTAATTATAAAATGATTTAAACTAACCTGCATTACCATTAGGTAAACCGTTTCCATGATGATGATGATTATTGTTGCGATGATGATGATGTTGAGGTTTCTGGGCTGATAAATGAGGTTGTATATCACTATCAGTAGATTTTTGTAATAAAGATTCTTCATTATAACTATGTAACATATTTCTTTCACCTAATAATTGCATAACTAAGGCTTGAAGTTGACCAAGTTTGCCCTGAAATGAAATCAATATCAGAAATTAAGAGAACTATTTTATTTATTGGGTATAAGAACCAAACTCTATATATCTGACAAATTCATCAAATCTTCAAGGAATCAGACACATTTTTGACATACTTTGAACAGCGAGTATAAAGGATATAAAATGTATAAACCTTCAACTCCAAGTAATATAACTTACAGTATATGAAGTTTACATTACAAAGTCACTTGATAATGGTGTTAAAATCATCCAAAATCACTTTTTAGTTTACACATTTATTCAGGCTCATATCGAGCGCCATAACATAAAACCAACATAACAATGCGCATGCTCAATTAGGCAAGACCAAATATACAAAAACATGGAATGACGGTAAGTATAAGAAACGAATCAATGTTAATAGTTTATCATTAATAATACTTTCTTTTTTCTTTTCTTTTCAGGTAAGTATTATTTAGAAAAGAATATTAAAAAAATCTATCCAGAAGGTACAAATGATCCATTGTTGACTGTGTAAAATAATAAGGTAATGTAAATTGTATGTGATAAAATAAACTTGATTAAAACTCAATAAGCTGAGTTTTGTAAGAAATGACAAAATAACAGATAGCAGGATACTAGAAGGTAAGTAATGATGTAAGGTTATAAAAATAACAACCACTATAACTCCAAATTCAACAAATAATTAACTGTTAATACAAATACTCCCACTTAATTACACTTTTTTTTTTTTTTTTTTTTTTTAAAAGCTAAGGAATATTACTTATTTTGCCAGTGCGAAAGACACTTAACAAGTCACTTCCTGAAGCACCTTTTTTAGTCATGCAATTAGCTAATTGCAACTCACTGGGACACCATTTAACAGAGGTGATTTGTTTTAAAGATAAAGATTCTTTAATAGCACTTATATCTAGCCTTAAACGTTTATCGTCCACCATCTTAGTTGAATAGATGGCTTCAACAACACTCTTATTGTCAATGTATGCCTCAATGGGAATGTTATACATAGTCTTTGATGAGAAGAGATCTTCAATTAAATGCTTTAAATAGCTTGCATCCTCTAAAGCTTCCTGTAGACTTAAGGACTCGGCAGCTATTGTAGAGCGAACAACTCTCTTGATTTTATTGGATTGCCAATTTAAAGGAGAGCAAAAGTTATTAGGTGACACCAACAATATCAAATGAGCACCAACACTCCCAACACCATTACAGATGTTTCCAAGGGATGCATCAGAAAATACGAGCAACCGCCAATTTTGATAATTTCCAAGATTAGGAAAACATATGGAGGCATTTATCTCTTTAAGTTTCAGAATAGCCTTATTGGCGCGTTTAAAATCATTAATTTCACCATTTTTTAATTTGGTACTTAAATCAATCATTTCGAATGCTAAATCGGGTCTAGACCCTTGCACAGCCCAATTTAATTTACCTACTTGACATCGAAGAAGAGTTAATTCATCCTCGGAAAGTTTGCTAGTTGTGCCTCTATCACTGGCTAATTTAGCAGTTCCTAATTCTTCCATGTAAGAAGATTGATCTAGAGTAACAGCATCTTGAGATTGAACCAAGTTGAAACCGATATATGTGAAACTAGTATCAGCTAATTTTCCAGCCAGGAAGCGTTTACGCAAACAAGTCATAACTGATGCATCAAACTTGGTGGCACCAGCATGTAAAAAAGTCATCAATATGACATGCTAATAAACCAATAAGAGAATCATTGCTATCTTTAAGATAAAACAATGCAGGATCAGATGTGCATTGTTCACAGCCTAACTTAAGAAGTTCATCTTTTACACTCTGATAGAACTGTCGGGCAGCATCATTTAAGCCATAAAGACAGTGGTTTAATTTCCATAGTTTACCCTTAGCAACATCTGCCTCGACAGGAGGAGATAAAAACACATCCCTATCTAGTTTCTTACCCTGAGAAGCTGATTTTATATCCGTAGTTTTAACAGGCCACAATTGACTAGCAGCAATGGCAAGAAAAGTTCGCATTGTACTTTTGCCTATAGTTGGGGAGTCACTTTGAATATATTGTTCCTCTTGAAATCCACGAGCTACTAATCGAGCCTTGACTTGATCACCTTTTTTAGTCACAACCCACCGTGTTGAAATTTTATCTTGGCCATTGTCGTCAACAACATCATAAGTTTTAAAAAGTTTCAATTTCTCCAATTCATCTAGCTTGGCCTGTACACAGTCTGGATTACCATGTTGAGAAGTTGGCATGAACACAGCAAAACTCTCCTCATCAAACTTTTTCCATTTAATAGATTCCATATCAAGGCTTTGAGTCTGTCCATTGTCTAACTGAACATTAAACCAATGCCTGTATGCACCTGTTGATTTGCCAGCTTTGCTGAGAACTGTTGCTGTCTTCCAATCCTCATTTTCCGACACTCTGAACTGAATTTTATCATTCTTTTTTATACGAATGTCATCTATATCACAATGTTCGCTGTCTCCATGAACATTTTCAGGAGTATCAACGTCACCTGGGGTGCTTACTGATGGTTCACCTATCACTTCACTGAAAACATTTGGACAGCTAGACCCTTGTGAAGAGTGTTTTGTGGTATTAGAAGAGGAAACATCATTATGTGTAACAACAGTATCCAAACTGGGTTGTGGAAAATCTTTGATAATACGATTTGTTGAAACTCTAACATAGACTCCACCATGTCGAACAAATACTAGCCTACCATCTTGAAATATAACCTTGGCAGGACCCAACCACTTATTATGACCTTCCCGTTTATAAAACACTGAGTCACCAGGTTTGAAATGTTCTTCTACTGCTCGGATCTGGTGTCTCAGAGCTCGTCTAATTTTTTCATCACATTCACTTTGCATAAAAGCTTTTCTGGAGGAATGTAGAGCATTTAAATGTTTCAGAAGAACATCACTTGATGTAGATCCATGGATATAAGGTATTTTACCGCTCAAAATATTAGGAAGGTTAGGATTCTTTCCTAGAACAATTTGATAACTACTAAATCCATTCCACATTTGCAATGAATTTTTTGCCATATTAGCCCAAGCCAGGAGAGTAGTGCTATCAGTATTAGGATTGTCATCAGCAAAAATTTCGGAATACAATAATGACCACTGGATGTGAAGTCCAATGCACATTTCTTCCCAAAGATTTCAGCTTCATCGTGCTCAAGATCCAATTTGACGTTGGCATTTTTCAAAGTTTTTAAACTCAATAGTAAAGGAATATTGGAATTTACCACATCAATTTCCAAAACAAACTGATGACCAGCAATAACACAGGGGACATGTACACACTTCATAGACTGCAAGCATTCACCTCCTCCAAATTTAAACCACTTCGTGCCTTTGAACTCTTTAATTTCTTTCTGTTTGTTTTCAGGGAATGTACTCAAAAACGTTTCATACCAATGCATGCCACTAACAGTACTTGAACAGGCTGTATCTATTACTGCACTATGTTGTGATTCTTTCCCCAAACGACTCACTTCCTGTTTATCATAATCAGTGTACATGATTACATTTTCAAAGTTATTCATCGTCAATAAAACCTCATTGTGAGATATAAATGCTTCCTTAGAATCACCATGTGCATTTCGATTTTCATAGCTGTGGGGACAATCTTTTAATAAGTGTCTGTAAGATCCACAAGCGTGGCATGTCAATGTTTTGCCATTAAATGATTTGGGATTAATGTGCTTTTCGGATCTGTCATAACCCCTACCTCTCAAGTTACTAGCTGAAGATCTCCCTCTATTTGGTCTGAAAGAATAATTGCTGTTACCACGATGATACTGACCACCATTACCACGATTAGGATTGAACTTATAGTATCCCGCTGCTGCAAGAACTTCTTAATTCTCTGCCAAGAAGGTCGGTTCTAACTTAAAATCACTACTATTTTCTAATGAGTCTTTTCCACCACTTGCAGAACCTTTAAATTTCTTTAATGAAACTTTGGCTTGTTCATATAAGGTATCTTTGCGTTCGTAGTTCATGCCTGTTAAAACTAACATGCGCTCATCTTTACTAATATTAGCACATTTCAGTAATTTAAAAGCCAAAATTTCTGGTAACAGAGTCATATTTTTCTTCACTATCTTAGAGTACTTTGAATCAAAATCTGAGATATATTCTGTTATGGATTGAGTTTCTTTCCACTTGAAGTCTTCAAAATCTTCATACTTTTCAAGGCTATCAACTAACTCATCTTTCCCTAGATGTTTATCTAAAATTGTTATCAACACTGTTAAACCATTCTCAGCCTTTAATTGGTCCGTAGTAAGCTCATCAAAAACACGTTCTCGAATTCGCAGTTTCTCTTGTTCAGGAAGAGATAGTGCTACAGCTATACCCTGTTTGCCTTTTTCTAAATTGGTAATTTCACACCACGCCAATAATTCTTGTTTGTATCTTTCATAAGTCTTGTCATTTGAAAGGACTGGTGGATTGACTTTCATACTCATTTTTACAGCAAAATGTTATCAACTTTACCGCCAACTTTTTACGACTTCCGCTAAAAACATTTACTTCCGGTTTTTCGCTAACCGATCAAACAGTTCAGTGTCACTATAAATAGTTTAAGCTACTATCTTGAAAAGCAACCACGCTCTGGTACCATGTTAAAATCATCCAAAATCACTTTTTAGTTTACACATTTATTCAGGCTCATATCGAGCGCCATAACATAAAACCAACATAACAATGCGCATGCTCAATTAGGCAAGACCAAATATACAAAAACATGGAATGACGGTATAAGAAGTATAAGAAACGAATCAATGTTAATAGTTTATCAAATGGCAGCACTAAAGGTTTTTTTTATATAGAGAATGGTGGTAAGAATTAAATGACTGACCTGTAACTCCTCTCTATCACGAGCTAAATGACCAATATATTCATTCTTCTGTGATTCACGTTGTTGTAATAAAGCCCGTTGATGATGATATAGTGAGATATATTCTCCTATTGTATCAGTTTCACCTTGTAACTGTGTTACTAGATGTTCTAACTGATCAGCTTTATCAGTTAATTCAGCTTTATCTTTCATTACTTTAGTGTATTTATCCTATAAATATACAGTTGTTCAAAATTGAAAATTTTATCTGATAAACAGTTAAAGTAATTTCTAATGCCTAATGCCCTAAAGTATTTTGCGAATGAGCTTAGTTTAGTGTTTTGAAAAATGAAAGCACACAAGGCATCAATATATTGTCCCATTTGAACAACTTGACATCTGACTGACTCACACAGCTCCTTTAATGTTATCAAGTCAAGCTTACTAGTGCTTTATTAAAGGGCTTTTAAAGAAATTTTCTGCAATAATTTTAATTAGACAAATGAAAGAAGAAAACACTACTTTGGCTTTACAAGATACTCTTTCTAGCTTTAATTAAAGATTTGATGTAGAAAAAAAAGAGATTTAAAACTTAAGAGAGACCTGTATCATTGTCATAGCTGTTTTTAACTGTTCAAATTCACCTCTCCCTACTCTCTCATTATCATCATCATCTTGTTCTATATAAACATATAATACATTAATCACATGGGTATATTCCTATACTCAAAAATTATGTTATATTACAGACATATACGGTCTTAGTTCTGTACCATGTCCAAAGCTCAATTATGTTTAATGTGCTTTAATGATTACAACAGGTATGCCTGATAGGGGTAACAATAAGAACTAATAATAAAAGATATAAATAAACACATGCAAGGAAAATTCCTATTCAAAATATTGTAGATTCTATATGGGATATGTAAAAAAACATAACAAAGGAGAGATTGCATGGAAAAGAAACTTACTATTTCTAAGAACATCTTCTTGTAAATCAGATATTTTAACACCTAATTTATCTGATAAATCCCTCTGTTCTTTTAAATTAGACATTAATACATTTCTCTCTGATTCTAGTTGTTTTATTGTCATTGATAGAGAATCCAACTGAAATATTGAAAAATGCAAATTATTACTTTACATTTAATGGTGGCAGTTTTTAGTTCATCACAAAGAGCATCTCAATGAATTAGCCATAGTTCTGTTTTATCATTCTTAGTGAGCTATTTTAGATAATAATACTTCAATCAGTTACCTTCATAAGATTCACACATGTAATACATGATATGTACATGATGAACATTCTTTCAGTCGATCCTTCCTTGTCTTTTCTCCATGTGTTGAAATAATGACAAACATAACAAAATAACAGAAGGAAATGGGACCAGATTTCTTACTTACCACTTGATCTCTCTGTGTTTCTGTTTCACCATTTTTATCTTCATTATTATTACTAGGTATTTCAGCAGCTTTTATTAACATCTGTCTCAATTCACTACTCTGTGTTGTTAAAGCATCTACCATATCCTTTATTACAATTATAATAGTGGTTTATATAAATATTTACTGAAAAACACAGATCTGTGTGCAACAGGCTGTGTATGTAGAAGATCCCTTGACTGTTATAAAAATTTTAAGACTGGGCTTATGCAGCTGAACTAAAAAATTCCCTCATTGCACACTGCATAGACTTTCATTATCCCAATTAACAACTCAAAAAAATTGACTCAATTACATGCAGAAGGCAAAAAAAAATATGTTTGAAAGATCTATTAGTAAATTTCATAGATTAACCCTAAAGCATAGGTAAGGTTATGTTTAATTTCATGACATTGAGTACAAATCTTTCTTAACAAAATAATGTTACCTGTGAAGCTCTTAATTCATTTTGTAAAGTATCAACTAATTGAGCTTGTGCTTCATAATGCTGTAATCTATCATTGATCTGTTCTTGTTGAAATTCTTCCCTCCTTAACATTTCCATTTGTTTCTTTAAATCATTTATTTCACTGTCTTTTCTTGATACCTGCAAGATCAAATAAACATTTCGATTTAGAACCTAACTGACAACTTGTGTTTGGTTTTAAGAAAATTAGATCATAATATGTAAACTTTTAGTTTTCAGCAATCTCTTACAGTTCTTTGTTCAAAGTCAAAATACAATGGTTACTAATCCTATACATTTGAATCAGTCAAACTACTAAAAATAGTAATTGTAATACCAATTGTTCTAAAATTTGTAAACTTACTATTTGTTTAATATCTGTTAATTCATCTTCTTGTTGAGCTAATTTACTCTGTATTTCACCATTACTATGTTCACCTGATTGTAACTTAGTTAATAGTTCCATATTATCATTGCTCTGAAAGTATTCACAATATTTTTAAAATTATCTTTCATTTTTTCCGCGATTCAAATAAGTGTATTATTATTCCCCACCACGTATTTGAATCTCCTAAAAAACAATCAGCCAGAAAAATAGATTAATTCTCTTTAAAGACTGACTTAATCCCACTGACTTGAGTTTTTGTAAAAACTTTCTCTTAATCAAAAGAAAAAATGTTGAAATAAACTTAAACTAACCATTTTAACAAAAGTAGATTGTAGTTCAGCAAGTTGATTTTTAAGATCTTTATTTTGTGTTAAAGCTCTACTTAATGCTGTTTTATCACTCTGGATACTCTCTAATAGATGTGCTTTATCACCAGCCTCTTCGCCTAATGTATTCACTGTTGTTTCTAATTCATTAATTCTTTCTTCTTTCTCCTCTAAAAACCTAAAAAAAGTCAATTGTATGGTTCTTCATAGGGAAACAAAGTATTAAATTTAAATAGACATCAAAAAATGTATATCTTATTATCACAAGAAAACTTTTGAAATTTGTATTATTTCACTTGTACATGTATAGCCATCAATAACAAATTGAAGTCCTGTCAATCAGATAAATAAGTAAGCTTGAGATATTCCATCAATAAGCTACACTTGAATTCTTGCATTTCCTCTTTAGAAACAATAACTGTAAAAATATGATAAATAGTGAGCCAGTGATATGCACTGAATACTGTATAATCATGAATTGGATGCCACTTGATGCTTACCTACTCAACTGTGCATTATCTCGTATTTGAGCTTCATGTCTAGTCTTTAAATCTTGTTGTTCAGCTTTTAATTGAGAGATTTCATCTAAAAATTGTGAAACATCAACTTCTACTGGAGCTTGTTGTTGTTGTTCATCAACATTTACTGAAACACAAGCAATTTATTCCTTTTACACAAGATTTATTACTTAAAGGGATTGTAAAGAGGTTGTGTAAATTTTTTGAGTTATGTGAGCCACAGGCGTCTGATTGAGAATTGGAATGATGCAAATTGATACTATCAGTGTCCCCAATAGACATAAATTTTAAGAAAATATCTTTACAATCCCTTTAATACAAATATACTAATAACCATAATGGAAAATAAACTATTCCTATTGACAAGAGCTCATCTTGTGTTCTCAAACTGTATTTCAAATACAAAATTTATGAAATGGAGATCTAGTTTACAATTTCTAAAAATATAAATTCCATTGACTACAGTTAAGACTATTCCCACAAATCTTATTAACAACAGAAACAGTACATCTTATTTCATATAATGATCATACTATAACAATTTTCAGGAGAAAAACTTTATAGTGCTATTATCAGGAATATTAAAAGTTTGTCAGCACTCTGAGAGACACTTACATAATTTCTGTTGTAATTCATGAACAATAGTTTCTAAATCATGTTGTCTTGTTAATAGTTTACTTCTTTCATCAGCTAAACTAGTTACCTGGTGAAGAATAAGAACAGCATCTTAAAGAGCTTTCTAACTGATAGAGATCAGTTTCAGCAGTTCATAGAACTTCAGAAGTAAGTGTCTAGTTATTAAGTTATTAATCTACTCATTGGTAAGAATTACACATGAGAATGCTAAAACACAATGGAAGAGCTGGCAGTTTGACCTTGTAAGAATAAGATGTTATGTACATAGATGGCTCAATTAGATGAATTTACCGGCTGACCAGTTCAGAGTTTTCAATTCATCCCTTGCCTTAGTCAAGATAATTTCAGTGTCTGCATATGAATTAAGAAATCAGTCTAAAATCAATTATATACAGGAGTAATAATAAAATACCTGTTGTTGTTGGTCTTCAGCCTGTCTTTGTATCTGTGTAACATATTGTTGATATTGATCAGATATCTGATCTCTCTCTTCACTCATCTTCTGGAATGTTTCTTCATACTGTAATTATATACACCATATAGTGTTAACAACTATTACTAATAATCATACTTATATCATGGTGAAAGGGTTCAGCATTGCCTGATTTTGACACCTTTGGTAAATCATGTACAAAGTAAATTATACTTGAGACGTTTTTGTGGGCCGATTCGATTTGATAGATTAGCTATTTTGTGCATTTGTGATACAGGAAGTTTAGGCTAATCATTACATTTGTGAGAAAGTTCACATTAACTGATTAGGCCAATCATCCTAACCGCATTTGTAGACCACTGCTAATCTAATCGAAACCAAATCATATCGGCCAACAGAAAACGCCTATAAAGTTCAGCTCTATAAAATACTAGAGAAGGAAAGATTATTATCATAAATGTTGACTTACTTGTTGTATTTTGATTAAGAGATCACCCTTCTCTTGTTGTAATTGTGCTAATATCTGTACAGTTTCTTGTGAATTTTCACTTTCACTAGATAACTATAAATAATCAAGAATGTATATATATTATTATTAAGATGAAAGATATCCATAATACTAAATTATTGTGTAAAATATGTGAAACTCTATGATCTATTCATGTAACACAAGAACAACATTTTGTAATCTTTCATTTTTAGCTGAAGAAAAGAGTGGGGATCCTCAAAGCTAAAATTCAAAAAACTTCTATTAATTCAAATTTACCAATATCAAACATTTACCTGGTGTGCATATAGTTCTGCCATTTCTAGTTTCTTCTTCAGATCTGATACACTTTGATCTAGTCCACTACACTCTGATGTCTGTAATACAATTAACCATTATTTTAGCAAAGTCTTTCACAAATCAAACTTTAAAAAAAAAAAAGATTTCTTTTTCTGTACATGGGTCAATCAAATATCTAGACTATCGAATAACTAAATTCTAACCTTAAATGTGAGTTTTTCTTTTAATTCTGAAACTTGTTGCTGAAATTCTTCTTTTGATTTACTGAAAAAAAGGTCATAAGGCATAAAATTAAAATGGATTTGATCAACTTTCATGCATATACCGTTTGTAAAGAGATTTGACCAGGATATAAATACACCCTTTTTGGGATAACTTACTTTGCTTTGTAAAGTTCTAATTTTAATCTGTCAACCTCTTTAGATGTTTCTCTACTTATCTGAAAAATATAATAAAAATTTCAATAATGTATCAATACATAGACTTTCACATGTTACAATATTTTTAACTCATCTTATTCATCAAATAAAACCGATCATGACCTAGGCCAGTGCTTTCTTGGGAATTCTATTCTCATCTCACTCTAACACTGACCTTCTCATGTTGATGACTTGACTGGGTTGATGAGGAAACATTTTTCTCCAAGTCACTAACTTTCTGTCTTGAAGCTTTTAATCTACCACTGGTTTCTTCTAATTCCTCTGTAAAATAATTGATGCTCAAGATAAACATAAATTATTTATTGATAATGGAGTCAACTTGATGAACAAATGCATCAAAATACTGTAAATAGTGTAAGGGTTTAGTGATTTTCATTCCTAACCATTAGAAGAGTTTATGGACACTTGATAAAGGCATCATTTCAATTCATTTCAACCTAATAAAACTGGTTTACCCAGAAATGCTGTTAAGAATACAATTACTTACGTAATCTTTGTTCTGAGATACGTTGAGATTGACCTAGTTGAGATTGTAATTCAGTTTTTTCAGCTACTAATATACCAATTGTTTGTATATGAACCTGAAATTGATACAATTACTCTTTTTAATCATTGCTAAATAACTGACTGTAATTGATCATTCATATTCTTATGACTTCAATCAAAAACACCAATCAAAAGTCAGTCAAAAAAGAAAATTATATAATTACCTGCAACTGTTCCTTTAAAGTTCCTATTTCCTTTTTATACCTATCATCAAAATTATTTCTTTCTTGGTCCAACTGATTCTGTAGGTTTTGAGAATATGATTTCTGTAAAAGAATATGAAGTTCAATTTTATGGCTATATGAAGTATATATATATTAACTCTATAATTTCAATCTTGGGTTTGTATCATGTTCAACTTGATAGATCGCATGACACATATGATTAGTGCAACTACATGTACACTACCAATGATTTGTAATAAAAGAATTCAGAATAAGAAAGAATAATTACAAGGAATAAAGAGTAAGAAAACTTACTGTTTGTTGTAGTTGACTATTTAACTGTTCATTAGCTTGTGAATGTTTTTCTAACAACGCTGCTAATTCTTGATTTCTTTTCTAAAATTAAAGTTCAATAAAATATTACTCACATAATACTATGTTTTTGACATTAGTTTAGCACAAATTCAAACTAGAAGGAGGATGCCATTATATTCCCTATGTTAGAATATTCTGTTGAGATAATTTACCCACCTCTAGTTCAGCTATACTAGAATTATTATCATCATCACCATTCATATGGGTTTGAGACTACAATAGATACAAACATATTTGGTAAGGACAGAATGAAGTTTAGTATTAAGGAACTGACATCTTCAAAGAATTTAACAGTATAACAGAAATATCTCTTACTTGGGCAATATTCACATAAATCTTAAAGTTTCAAAAATGTCAAATCATACCTCTGCTAAGAGACCATTTATTTGTTGTGATAGTTGATGTAAACTTTCTGTAGAAGCTGTAGTTCTGTAAGAAGATATTAATAATATTATTTGAGGCAAGTTATTGAGATTTAACTATATTTGGAGAATGAATTCATTCATATTGAATGGTATTTTTATCATGTAACATGAAGATTTGTTTTAACATAACTGTGATCCCTACAACATTTATAATGTTTAACCTGTGAGTCTTAAGTTCTGTTCTGTGCTTTAAAAAATTAGATCAAATACCAAAAGTAATAGTAGTAAGTGATTTAAAAGAACATATGACATATAAAGAAAACCATTAAATTATGCCAATATTGTACTAACAATAACTCTTTGAGCTACGGTACTTCAGTTGAAGTCTCCTTACATTTTTGAAACCATTGGGTCAACAAATTGAAATATTATTTCAGATTTAGATTAAATACTGATTTCAAATGCAAATTATATAATGGTTCATAAAAATATATATCAGGCATAATAAACTAGTACTAATCATAAAGTTTAGAGTATTAGTTACAAATCATTCAGTAGTTAGTGATAAAGTTAGTTGTATATCATATACAGACCGAAATAAAGACTATAGGAAAAGATAAAACTAATAACAAGCCACTTGTAATTATGAGTAACTGAACATAAAATAAATTATCTAAAAGCAAATTAATTCATAAACATATATTGATGTACACTAATGAAAAACAAGCTATGTATACAACAGAAGAGAAGAGACTATTACTATATACTTCAAATAAGGGAATGTTGTCAGGAATGTAACTAATAATTTTATTTGACTATATAATAACCTTGTTTGACATATATCAATACAATACCACAACTGTTAATAATTGTCAAAAAAAGTCTGATAATTCTGACAACAGATTCTATGTCACAATTAGTAAAAACATGAACAAAACAAAAAATAAAGAAATAAATGAAATAAAAAGTTATTCTACATATAACGAGACAACTAGCATTTAACATCATTATAAATTCTACCTTGTTGGATCAAACCAATTAAATTGTTTTGTCTCAGAAACAGAATAGCTAAAAGAAAAACATAAGCTTTTTATCAATGACAAAAAAAATATTGACATATAACAATTAACCTAATCAAGACTCAAGTATTGGAGAAAAAACTACCTGTTTTGGTAAAATGTCTAGTTTAACCAATTTTGGGAAAACAATTTCTTACTCTTAGAACCAGTTATATTTCAGAAGATATCTCAGCATGCATATTTTGTAAAAAAGGAAGTTATACAAAGTTTCGTGAAAATGAATTATAGAAAATAGGTGTGCCCATATCTACATTGCACCCAATTTAGAAAAAAATCTATCAAAATTATAATCAGTATAATCAATATTAAGGGTCAAGGCAGATTATTCTATATTTTACTTGCATTTCTTCTTGATTAGCCGAAATGCACTTTTTCGATATGAGTGTTATAGGCCTAAAAGCTAATAGAACATGCAATGAAATTTACAACAAAAAAACCCTTACACCCTTGGTAGAAATCTTATCCAGAATATACATACCTGTTATGCTGATCTTCATAAGCCTGGAGTCTTTCAGGAGGAGAATTCTGTGTTCCGTTTTCAGGTTTGACAGTGTTTTTAGGCTTTATTTCCTACAAGATGTAACAATTTGATATCATACTTTACCATCTACAGGACAAAAATCACTAACAATTTTGTTAGACAAAACTTTAAATTCATTCATACAGAAAGTAGAGGTGTTCTAATGACTTGGAAAAATACAAGTTTGTCTCACATGTCCATAATTAATTCATAATTAGCTTAATTAGAAGAGCAAGCAGAATTCCCATGAGTGAATGGAAAGGTCAAAAAGTCTTTTTTTGTTTATCCAGACTCTACATACATATTTATGATTGGTTAAAACTCTTAACTATATGCAGTAAAGACATAATGATATGATTAAGAATGAATGAGGATTCATTTGAAACCCCAATTAATCAAATAGTTTGCTTATTTTAACACTAAAAATTAAGGAAACCCATCTTTAAGTAATGTGACATGCAAAAGTAATGCTCTTTTGCATTCAAAGGGATCACAACCATGCCTTAAAGATGGAAAATTAATGATTATACAAATGCAGTACCAAAGTTTATGTTTCTTTAATGATTTTGTTGTTGTTTTGTTTCAAATGGAATATTACCTCTTCTGCTTTCAAATTAACACTGGTATCAACCTCCCTATCTTTAATATCTGATGTTTTAGCTTTCTTAGGAGCCGTAGTTTTACTTCCCTTCTGTTGAAACTGTTTCAACTAGAAAATTGAAAAAAAGTGAGAATACAGTATTTAACGAAAATCAAGAAGTTCATTACTTGTCTTTATGAAACACAGTGAGCTCAGAATATAATTTATTCTCTCAGTCTCAGGTGCGAAATACTCAATTACTTTAAATTGCATGTTTGGCCTGACATATCACTGTCACATTTATTTGGCAGATAAATGAAAATATATCTTATAAGTAATGTTCCTTGTGTGCAATAAATAAAAAATGTTAAAGAGCTGAAAGCTCAAAATTGTTTTACAAAACAGTTTGATCTAGGCTATCAGTATCACTGTTTTGGTTAACAGATATTTCTTTGCTCCCACATTCAGAGACTGAATGTAATACTAATATGAGGTAGTGAGAATAATATTGTAAGGTAAAGAGTCATAACATAGGTTATATAGGCCTATGATATAGGCTGGTTATAATAACAAGCATAGCCATAACAGAATGATGTCACTGTCAGAATAACTGAATCCTGAGCCGGCCAGGTGCTCGCTCTTGTAGAACTATTTACTAAAGTATCTGATGCAAAAAAAAATTCGATGGGAATTTGTCAATGACTTGATGTAACCAGGGTGTTCATTCTGCAGATAACTTCTAAGTTGACAAATTACCTTCTTTTTAGCAGCCGCTATCTTTTCCTTTTTAGAGCTGTCTGCCATTTTCGATCCATGACATGCGCACGCACCCTGACACGCAAGCTTCTAGCACCGAGGAAAATAAATAAAAAAAATTAGTTAAAATATCCCTAATTTGAATTGAAAATATAAAGAATAAGGCATTAAGCTAATCTTCTAAACGGTCACACAATTAACTGTATTAAGGGCAAGGGAATTTTAATATTGGTGTATGTAATATGCGGTCTTGACTCCCTATTCGAGGTTTTGTCAAAAGTCGGAACCAATAAAAACCGAAACGTATATATTGTTGGTCGACATATGAGAGAAAATCAAGTAGTTGTCAGTTTTTTTCTGTGGAAAGAAGGAAGACGAAGACGGATCACAAGAGAGAAATATATTATGTTATAGATCCAGTGCCTCAAGTATAGAGATAGCGTTCAGCTAACCGTCTACTATTATAACTATTGTATTTGAGACCCCTGTGTCAATTTAATGACTGATTCATTCTCATTCATTCATTCATTCTATTTTCAGCCTATTTTGGTGAAAAGATTTTGCGATCCATTTTAATCCAATTGTCTGCGGTTCACACCATCCTCCTTTGAAAAAAAAAAATAGGTGAAGTTGATTGGCGAAAAAAACTGTTTTGATTCCCCTTAAAAGATAATATTAATATACGCCTAAAATAGCAAATATTTACTAGTTTTAAAGGGTTACTTATAAATAGTTCATAAATTTGATGCTACATTCTCGTGGTAAAAGCCTGTCATAGCCAATTAGGTACTTACTAGATGTTTAAATATCTCGGACAACAAGTGTTTCTAACCAAGTGAAACAATCATGGCGGCATTTTGAAACTATAATACTGGTAATTGGGTAATTGAATATTTTTAATATTAGCCTACGAGTACGAACTAAGCGTTGGTGGCGATATCCGAAACACGATTTATAGTAAAAGGAGCCATCCCACAGATTGTAATATATATTCAAACTTAAGCTTAAATTCACGAAAAAGACCATTTGAGTCTATTGTAGACAATCTTTATAGATTGAACTTTTAAAGCTACCATGTTTCAATAAGCCAAATACCGAATTATTTTTTTTTTCATTTAAAAACGAGTTTGCTTGTCGGTCTTTCTTTTTCAATGATTGGTTGGTTGGTAGATCACAAGTTAAATTTCATTTCCAGCTACTATCTATGTTGTTGGTAGACAACTACTATTTGTAGTAAGAACAGGATCAATTAGATGGTATAATGGTACTGTTGCCAGTGTGGGTCAGCTTTATTCTTCAAAAATCAATGTGATCAACGTTATTCTTGTTAAAGGTAATTGCATAGTAGTCAGTTTGGTTATGATAACAGGTATTGATTGGAAGACCTGGGAATTGTCTTACCTGGAATTGTCATTTGATTGGTGGTTAGCATTTTCTATAACAAGTATTGTTAAAGATGCTAGAAGTAAATGACATTGTGGACTGCCAAACTTCATTTTTTCTTTTGAAAAATTGATTCCACCTATATCAAATCATGGTAGCTTTAAATTCACAGATGTTGGCAGAATCTACATCAAACAGAGAGATAAAAAAAAAAAGTAATATTAAACTGATACATACAACTAATTATTTAACAGTAATATTTAACTATTTTTGTGATCCATTGTTCCATGTGTAAACCTGGATTAGGACATGGAAATAAAAGTTTAATTCAATTCAAAAATAGTAAGGTTATTCTGTTAAGTATTTTGAGACCTAGATTAATAGTTCTTATCATTATATTTTTTACGCAGATTACTGTCTCATCTGATAAAGAATCACAATGAGTGATCTGTTTACATTCAATACATATGGTCGTCAACCATTAAAAGAACAAGTAACACCACATAAACTATCTCTGTTGGTACTGATACATAAATATCAGTTATTAAGAGGTAAAATACCAGATGAAGACATTGAAGATGTTGTCTACTTTACAGAAAAAGAACAGAGAGATTTTATGCTGACTCTGTTAGAGCTTTTACAGGTACTATGATAACAGAATAGTTCATTTGTGATAAGAAAACTTAACCTTTAGATCCAAAAATTCATTTTAAGATATGTTTATTCTTTATACTGAATTTCGTGACTGCATATTTTTTTTATTTGTATTTTTGTTGTAAAATTTTATATTTATTCAATTTCTATTAAATGCTTTTATTCAAATAATATGAACTAATGGAAAATGGAATAACTCCAGGGTTCTGATATAGAGTTAAAAGAATTAAGAATGAAATTACAAGGAATTATCAAGCCAGCTCTCTTTGATGCATTCTTTGAAAAGTGAGTTTTCAGTGTTACATTCCCACTTAAACTTTTGTAAAATTACAGAAACCTAGAACGGAAATGAAAGGACAACTGCATTTGGTAGTGGTATTGTTAAATTGATGTTTTCATACCTATTTCATTCCTATTTCACTTTATCTTTCTGGAGTTGCAAAATATGGTGTACGTAGTTTTTTTGGGTATCACCAAAGAAAGCTAAAAATGTGCCATTTCTTCTTTTGAATTTGTGATTCCTAATATTAAATGTGTTATTTTTTCAGATTAAAAGAAATACATGATGACGGCCTACCAACTGTTAGAGAATTTTTTAATAGTATTATTAATTTAGTCTTCTCTGATTCTAATGAAACTATTGAAGCTGTCATAAGTAAAAACAGTGTTGTAGGTATGTAAAAACATGAACATGATGTAATATTTCTTTTATATTTTTTTTTAATACTTCTGTTCAAGTTGCATTTGATGGTTGATACACTTTTCACTATTAAGAATAATCAGGAATGTGGTTTTATTGAATAAGGTACTTATTCATTGAACACAAAATTTTATTTTTGCCCTTTTGATCACTATCAACAAACTAAGCACTAATGGTCAAAAAAGAAACCCGAAAATCCAAAACAACATCTTAGAAGAACTATAGCTTTTCTAACTGGTATCTTCACCCATGGAGAGCAATTAATGATTAATAATCAAACACATAAGACCCAAATGACTTAACAAGAAAAAAAATTGTTAAGCAAATGACAAATTGTACTGTTGTATATTTCAGGATTTTTTATAAGAAGAATGTTACTTGCATATAATAAATTATCATTTAGTCAAGTTATAAGATTCTTAGAAAAAAATAAATACTATTATGAGTTATATTTCCCTAATATTGAACCTGAGACTGATCTAGGAAAATCTCTGACAGATTCTGTAATGAGCCTGTCAGGGGCTGGTGCACCACTGACAAAAAGCTGTCTAGCACAGACATTTGAAGGACTACAAATCTCAGAGTAAGTGTCAGTTTTTTTAGAATTTCTTAAGGAGTTGAAGTTAATTGAAATTTTTTTTAGTCATCCGATGGGATGAAAAAGTTGGCACAGTACAGTTTTTGTTTGTCTGTGCTTCAATATGAGCCCTCTATAAATTGGTTTACCTTTGTTCCTGTATTGTTTACATGAAAACGCTTTCTACTGATTGTAGATCATTACTGTGGTCTTTTTTTTTTTTTTCAGCAGTGGTGTTGGTGGTTTTTATTCCCAAAAACAAGCTGAATATTTTATAGCACAACAGGTATGACTATCGATAGACATTACATAATTTTATGCCAATGTGAAGCCATTTCAAATCTCTATCTTATGTATTGATGTGTGATTATTTTTAAGTTTCCTCTTGTTATGGGGATATAACTACACATAAATATTGTGATATTATCAGTCATTGCTTCATACACCATATCTCTATATTACTCTTCTCATGCTGTTCTGTTTGCAATAAGGTAAAAGGTTGAATATAATTTTTGAAATTATTTTACATTGACATTTTTTCTCCTTGATATGTTAACATCTTGAATGTGCATTGATATTTCAGGCCTTGTTGTTACATCAGAATGAAAATAAAGCACTATCACCATCTAAACTACAAGAGAAGATATTAGATATATTAAAATCTAACAAAGATTTAGCTGAGGCAGTAAGTCATAGTCAGATTGTTGAATTGCTTTATAGATGAGTCATAAGATTGAATGTTATTTTCACCTCTCCTCAGGGAATATACCTACTGTGCACACATTCAAACTATTCAACCTTACCTTATTAATTTGATGTGTGACCTTGGCCAGTGCTTGACTTAGGAGTGTTACTAAACTTACACATTCCCAATGCAGCATTTCCTTACCACTTAGTTTAATATGTCTTCTGACTCAGATAAGGGTTTGAAATCATAGAGTGAATATATATTGACTTTCACCGCTTACAACTGAGTGATAAATGATATTTATTTCAGCATTTTCTGAGTTATTTAAATAGTTTACGAGTAAAAGAATATTGTACAGCAGTCCACAATCTATATCATTATTATGATAGAAATAGTAAATTAACAGGCACTGAATCTACCTCCACTTCTAAAGATAAAGAAGAGTTAACCAGGCGCTATGCAGCTTTGAATTTAGCAGCATTACATTTTCGATTTGGTCACCATGGAGAAGCTATGGCATCCTTAATTGAAGCTATACATATAGCTCAAGAAGCTAATGATAATATTTGTTTACAGCATGCCTTGGTAAGTAATCAATTCTATTTCACTGATAGCCTTTTGATACATTGCATATATGGTTTATTTTTGTCAACATTGTTAAATTTTGCAATATATCTAGAATTTGGATTTGGCTTGATGAAGTCTGATGTCTGTGATTCCTGTAATTGCAATGGAATTTTGCAAATAGAAGCCTGTGTCCACATTAGAAATCCTCTTTTTGATTCCCTCAAAGGTTTTGTATGGATATGGATTGGGAGACTAGTTTTGCTCATTTCTATTTTGTAGTCATGGTTACAAAGATTTGGTGAACAAGGTGTAGCTGCTATGTCACATCTAATAGAGAAATCTATTGCTAAAAGTGAAGATTTAGCATTACCTTATTTAACATCATTGGGTGTACAAGTTCTAGCTAGACATAATGCCTTTGTTTTTAATAAACCAGCCAATGTATTTCAATACCTACAATACAGTGATAGTTTAAATTGTGAAAACTTCTTGTCTGGTATGGTACATATAAGTTACACACAGAAAGCTTCTTTATGGCATATATTTGGTAAAAGGTAACTTGTAGATTCTTTATGACAAAGCTTATAAATTTTAACCTCAACTCTTAGTTTTAGAAGCTTGTGAATTGTCCATTAAACAGTGTCTACTTTCTAACAATTTGCATGAAAGGAAGACAGTTGCATTAATATTTTGTAAACCAGCTAATAGAGCTCATAAAACTATTTGTATCATTTTATGAAGCAAAATTTAACATCTGATTCTCTTGCAAGTAACAAAATATAATAACCCATCACACAGAGATATTCTCTCATTGTACAGTGTCTAAATGTAGCTTTATTGTGCTAGTTGAAATTGAACTTTTACACTAATACAGATCCATTATATTTCCAGTGAGCTGTCAACTATGTGTAGTTTATTGGTCTTAAGTTTAGACAATCTAGAAAGTGGCATATCTCATAATACAGAATTGAGTTGTATTGCTTTATGTAATTTAGCTCAGAAACATGCAGAAAGGGTTTGTACCTAGTTATATCTTGAAAGAAATTTTCCTATTATCTTTATAAGACCACTAGATATGATGTTGATTTTCAGAACTTTGTTGGTTTCTGTATGAATTGCTATTAGTATTTATTGAAGATAACTGAAAAATTTAACAATTGTATAACTGTATAAATTAACTTAACACATTGTGGGATTGCGAAACCCAAAAAGGCCTCCTTATTGCACTACTTTGGGTTTTGCTGTCCCAAAATTCCATTAAACATCATGTTATACCCAGACACATTTCTCATTATAGGGTCAGTATCAAATAGCAACAGATTTGTTAAATCATGCTAAATTAAGATTTCCAGTAAATTCTCAATACAGCCATCATTGGATGAATTATGAACAACAAATAACATTTGATAAGATGTTATATAATAGGAAATTTAACCTAGCTGAACAGGCTGTTGTTAATCTTAGAGTTGTTGATGAACAGGAGGCTAAATTAAGGTGAGTACCAATATATTCTATAACTGTACTATGGTTTAAGGGTGTGGGGAGGATTTTGACATTAGTACTTTTTAGAAGAACTAAAAATGATAAAGAAAGACAAGAAAAAGTATCAAAATAGCTCAATTTGACTTGGATATATATCTCTTTTATGGCAAGTGTTGTTAATCTTTTTTTTTATTATAGGCTAGTGGATCTGTCTGAATAATATTTCATGTATGATTAATTGTTTTTGTATTTTAGAAATGCATTATTATTATGTGAGAGAGGTGAAACGACTAGTGCTTATAAACAATTAAATGATTTACTAGAAGCTTGTAATAATCAAACAATAGATGGACAAGATTTACATTTTCAATGTAGGTATGTATCAAAGAAGGAATCTGTGTTCATGAATACATGTTTACTGCTCTGAGTACTCCAATGTTTAGATAGTATCTCTAACTTGGGTACAACAAGTTGGATGAATGAAATACTGAAATGCTTGATTTTCTTAGATTTTGTTTATGAAAAGTTCATGCTTTGCATTTGTAAATAGTTTTAAGAAAAGGGAGAATAGTATTGCATTACTATTACAAATAAGATTTAAAGGACTTTTAGAGACAGAGAACACATATAGCAAAAACACACAGGAATATGTCATACAACACTTTAATTACAGAGCACATTATGTTTCAACACAATTTGCACATATTCTCATTCTTGCAAAAAAAAGATATGAAATTTTTACTATTCTTCTGGAATTAAATATCTGTTTACATTTGAGTTTATTTGAGAAATTAAGATATTATTTATTTTATTTCAGAGTTTTGATGGCAATGTCTCAACTATGTATGAATACAGGAAATCATACCACAGGTTTGAACCATATACTAGACTGTATAACTAAGGCTAAAAGTCATCATATGAGCTATTTTGTAGCCATAGCATCAATACAGTTAGCTTTTATTCAGGTTTGTCTAGTTGTCCTATTTCCTTATAGTCAAAATCATCACCTGATATAGCTCAATGAATTCAGTACCAATTTCACCAGTGTGGATATAGTTCATTCTGCATTTGAATATAACATTTGTCTTTTTTATAATTTGATTAATATTAAAAACTGAAATTAATTTCATCTAATGTGGCTTTCAGATCTTTGGAAACCAGAATGCAAAATCATTTGCTCTCCCGGATCTGGAGATTCAAGGTTCAAACCAAACATAGATAAACAAGCTATATTATTATTAGAGAAGTATATGTTAACAATTCTAACTCATGGTAGTCTATATGATCAAGCTAGAACATTATATTGTTATTGTCGATGTAGAGTAGCTAATATAAACAATAAAATAGAAGATCAGAGAAATTCAGGTAGGTGGCCATTATTTTTTAGCTGGAATTCTATCATTGAGAGACATTGATCATTGATTTGTGCCATTTCAATGTTTAGTTATGAATTCACTTTAATCTAAGTATTTAATCACATGACTATCTCAAAGGTCCTTACATATTTACAGGCAGCTATATGGACGCCATACAACATGGAATTTCAAGGACTACACGCTTATTTCAAAAATATTTTCAAAGAACATCCAATGTATTGCTAAATTTTGTGCCTACATTACTATTACTAATATGAAGGAATAATTTTTTTTTTCAGTATTACTGTCAGGTATATCAATGATGGACACAGTAATAGATCTATTTAAGAGAGTGGAAGCTCAACAGAGAGTTAAAGACTGTATATATTATCAAGCTAGACTGTATAATGATATAGGTAATCTGGCTGAGAGGAATAAATGTGCTTTTCAATTTAAACAATTAGACCAACAATACCCTACATTAAGTAGAATGACAATTAATGCTTTCTGATGTTGGACATTCATAATCATGCCATCTTATAAAATACATGCAGTTTGGATGACATTTTAGAAGTGTTGTTACATCTGGTGGAATACCATTCCTGAATCACCCTTATTTTTGAGAAGAGGCTTTGTTAAGCAGTTTCAGATGAATGTGGTCTTGCTCAGTGAACACTGAAAGGCTATACAGATTATCAGTTAGTTGAAATAAAGTTCTGTGATATCGTTTTCTCTAACCTCATTTGTGACACTGGACTAAAATTATTATGTAAGAAATAAAAGCAGTATGAAATATTGCTAGTATTTTTATTTATGTATATGTACACTATATAATATACAATTATGGTGAGCACCAGGACCTTGATGTTGAGGAAGTGATTCTATTATACAATATATACAAAATTTACTTTTATAATGCCTTAAAACAGTTATCTGGTTTATGAAAAATTATATACAAAGGATCTCTCCAGGAGATCGCTACGACTTTATACCGGTTTTGTTTTTTGGCCAGGTGTCTTTTTGTCTATCCATTTCCATTTTTTCCACCATTTTGAAACCTTAGACTTGCATCTTAAAGGGATAGAGTTCTCTAAATATATTCTTTCTCAGCTGATATAGTTCAATTTCAGCAAGTATTTAGATTCTCACTTCCACTATTTTTTTTAAGTTCAAGACAATTGATATTGACTCTGAAAATGATCTGTTTTCAACACACATTTAAATGAACACACACTTTTAAAGGTTAACTGGCCAACTAATTTCCATCTACTTAATCGTTCAATTTTAAAAGCTACATGAATCAATATATTTTGATTAAAAGTTCCACACATTGCACTGAGATAATATTACTATAAATATCATTATACATAATTTACATATCATTTACATAATCAACAATAACTCCCTTATTCTCAACTTGTTGATGAATTTATACAAAATTACTCCAGATAACACACACAAAAGAAAATATAGAAACAAACCCCTGGATAGAGTGGGGACTTTCCTTTTAAAAAAAAAAAAAAAAACAATTTCATATCAGTGGTTCTTTGAAATCCACCAAAATTAGACTAAAACAAAATATCACCTTTTCAAGAGACAAATGGCCTTTGTGATAGTGACTCATAAAAGGCTTTGTTTTAGTGGAATAACAAGAACCACAGACGACTGACTTGAAACTGAAATAGTGCAATAGTGATGTGTAACTGATACACAAAAACTTCCCTTTGAACATAAAAACTAATACAGAAAGGCAAGCCACATTATTTATACACATCTGAATACTAATAAATAAATACAAACAGTTCACTATGTTTTTATGTTGTTTGTAAGTAGATTTTCTGGATGTGCATAAATAATTATGCTTGAAAGAAAGGAAAACTTACTGACTTACGTCATTGAAATTTCAAAAAATAGTGTTTGATTACTCTGTTGCCCCTATAACATAAACTAACACTCAATACCTCATTAAATAATGTATGTAGTATGATATAAAAAAAAGAAAAAATTATTATTTTTATCATTTACTAAGTCATATTATCTTAATTAAATTTGTGTAACAGAGAAGAATTCCACGTTTCCTGGTGACTAAACATTTTGTTTTACTAATTTCTTCATATAGAAATAATAAAATATATACAACCAGATTTGACATTTCCCTGTCACTTCAGTTGCTATTTCACCAGATAAAATTAATATTAAATGAAAATAGATTTATAATAAAAACACAACAAAAAGAAGAAAAATTAACCCAATAACAACACAAATAATATCACAGAGATCACAAACAAATCTTTATAATTCTTCTTTTTTGTTTGGCACTGAGTTCTTTTGAGCGTTATTTTGTGAAGATCTAGTTTCTGCATAGTTAATATTAGATTGATCTGTCCTGGTATTGCCATCAGTATATTCATTAACTGTTGGATTGTCTATATTTGACCCTATTGGATTATGTACATTGGAAGGATTACTATGGGAATTACTATAATCTACCTGAGATGAACTAGGATTGGCAGTTTTAATATTTTCTACATTTTCAACTATTTCCTCTATAGTTTTTCGTAAAACTGGATCATTTATTATTTTACCGTCATTTAATAAAGAATCCTTTACAATTTTCAAGATTCCATTATCATCCACGTATGCACCGTGTTGTTTGGACCCTGATTCTGGGGGGACTAATTGTACAAATGGTTGTTTTTCCTGATCACTGTTTTCTTGAGAAGTATCAGAAATATCTTCTGCATTTAAAAAACTTTCACGCTTTACGTCACTATCTGATTTTTCATCTGGCTGAGAACTTTTTTGAAAAATCAATTCACTAGCTAATTTTTCAATCATTTCTGTAGCTTTCGCATCAACACTTCCTAGTTTAAAATAGGCTGATTCCAGAAATCTAGCCAGAGCTATGAGGTATTCTGATTGGTCTTTAAGTTGTGGAAAATTGGTTCGTTCCTGAAGACTTTGAACTAAGTCTATGTAAATCTGATTTAACTGTGGTTTATTTTTCTCCACATCAAGTTTTTGATCAAGTTTAAATGTAAGTTGTTTGGAACCATCAGGTAATATTTCTAAGTGTAAAACTTCATGAATAGGTTTGATAGGTTTAGTTGGCTCTGAAGATCTTTCACTGATCTCTATTGGAGGTTCATTGCTTTCAGCTGTTACTTGAACTCTCATGTGGACCCTTTTGGACCCTGAAAAAAAAAAGGAACCATTTGGAAATGAAAGATAAATTTTGACAAGCGAATATTCCCCACATTAGATAATGGTACCTTATTTTAGATACTTTACTTTCCAAAATGAAAACCAACTGCAAACATTCAACGCATTATAATCTACTCTATAGGTTAACTTCAAAAAGTCTGGGAAATCAATGTCAAAGGTTTGGTCAAGGACCCACTGGTAGACATGTTCCTCAAGAGCAATGATTAGTATACATGTAAAATATGGCAATTACCTTAAAATTTATTATATAAGCTAAAAAGATAAAAATAATTACCAGTAGACATGGAATAAATGTGTTGAGAAGGGTCTGGATGATCAGGTCTGGTAGGAATATTATCAGGGTGTAAATCAGAAGGTATTGGTTGTCCAGTAGAAATATCATACTGTTGTGCAGGTTTATATACATTACCATTTACTGTTATACCAGGTCCTTGAGGTATATCACTTGATTCTAAAGTAGACCCAGACAAAGTTTAGATGAAATCTCAATATTTAATAAAATGGCATGGAAAATTTGGAATTGGGGACGTAAGCTTATATTCTCAATAATTAAATATGTAAAAATTTCAAATCTTCAAACATACTATAATTTCAATGGGCAGAGAACTAAATCAATTTGAGTGATGAACTTATCAAATGAAGATCGATATCTTGTTTTGAAGTGTTTGGTTGCTTAAGACAAGAGTAGCGTCAAGTATTATTTGATAATTGTTTTGTTTGAAGGATACTTGACAACTTTAGTAGTATCTATGATATATTTACCTTGTAATTTTGGCTGTTTGGTTAATAATACTTCTAATTCAGGGAATGTTTCTAGAGCACTTATTATCTCATGGCCCTCTTTATAGAATAGAAATACCATTGGTATAGTGATATCTTCTTGTCCATCACCGGACATAGCAAATAGAGCTTGTGAGTGACCAGTGGTGCCTTCATTATGATCTGAAATAGGGTTATCAATTAAAGATATTACAACAAAAACTGTGAATGTCACTTTTATGAAACATGTAATATTGTAATATCATTTTTGTGGTAAAAAGTAGACAGAAAGAGCGAAGCGAATCTAACTTACTTGAAGCTAATGCTAGCTGTCAGTCAAAATGTTACATGATGTCAAATTCTTAACCATTAAGTGAGCCAATCAAAAGCAATTTATCCAAAGCAGATTGGATAAGAATGTTCTAAGTAAATTTTTGGTATGTTCATTTGATATGTAATAATTTCAAATTATCATTAGACTTACCAAGTACAATACCACCAATAGCACCAGACTGTATTAAATTTCTTGCCTAAAACATATTACAATCAAATACTTACATTTATTCAGTTCATAATATATATTATACATGAAAGTATTTTAATATTGTTAAGTTGAAATAATGAATTTGATCATATTTGCAAACAAATTTTTAAATTTCATGATGTCGAATTGACAAGAATATCTAACCAAAATTGGTTTATACAAATAAAATAACAGAGGGTATATATTTTGAGAATATATTATAGTTTTACCTTATCAACAAACATACATTCACCTCTTTCAACTATAGCTATTCTACCTATTAATCTATGGGTATTAGTTAGTGGTTGACAGGCTTTAATAGGTTCAGCTATACTCACTTTACCTTGTATCTAAAATACAATATTCAAAACATTACAATTCTCTTTCATGATCTCAAGGGTAGGATTTTAAATCTGTTATCTGACCAGTATCATTAAATTATTGACAATAAAGATATATATATATGTATGCCTATGATAGTATGATGTGTAGTACAGCTAAAAAGGTTTGCTCTTTAGGTTATTTACATGATATGCTTGTGTTTAATATTCACACAAGAATTGATTAAATAACTAGTCTTACAGGAGGTAATGTCTTTAAATCATAACCAAATTGTGCTGGTCCTGCTTTATAATATACATTACTAGAGTATGGTTCACTTATCATCTGTACAAACATAGGTTCATGTTGGGCTAAAATAGATTTGAAAAAACATATTAAGTTTTCATATACCAGAACCCTTTGGATTGACAGCTCAACAACAATGACATGAAAGTTCCAAGCAAATACAAAGTAGAATAGAAATAAGGTGGGGGAAACAACATAGAATCTGTTGATTTCAATTTACCTTCTGGTTTTTGTTGTTTAGATAATTCTATCATTTCCTGCATAAATCTCATTCCATTTTCAGCATCCTCAGTAGATGCAGCCTGCAATATTCAACAATTTGAAAAGATTTCAAATTTCAATATCTACATAATCAAACACTGACAACCAAAGATATTTGTGAACATCAGCAAATGTCCCAAAACACAAAGGTGAACTGTTTGCAGCATTCTGGCAAAAGTGTATGGTTTATTCTGAGTTCAAGCAGATCATCAATCCACTTTATTTATAGGACTGATTTTTATAGTTAAGATTCCCATCTATTTCACCCGAAAGCAAATTACAATGCCCTTGAGTTCACTCTATGCGCAAAAGTATCCCAGTTATTGAAAACAGTCAAAGAGGACTTGTTAGATAAGGTAATGCTCCAATCCATAGAGACAAGTTCCCATCTTACTTACCTCCGAAGCAGTATGTAATAACTGTACTCTACCATCAGTCATTGTTGCTATTCTAATACCCATAGCATGTAACTGATCTAACTGTTCTTTATTACCAGCAATAAACTCACTGGCTTTCAGTCTATTTTTATATCTAAAATATACACAATTATAACATGTCATAGATTAGAAACTTTTTATATCTATAACAATCATCATACAATGAGCTCTAGTCTGAATACTGGAAAGTCAACTCCCAATTCCAAACTAACAGTCCAGATGAGAACCTTGAGATGAGCTCTTGTCAATTAGAATTCTTCTTTATTTCACAGCTGTGTGAACAAATACTAGTTTAATTCTTAACTATGCCAAATAAACATCATGGGCTATGTTGGACTTTCCAAAAAGGATGCTGTGTCCACAAAACTAGTCCCATCTTGGCTGCTGCTAAAATATTGAAGTAAGTCCATACTTACTGTGAAGGTTTAGGACTATGTCTACTGACTAAGTCTTTCATCTGAGATCTTAGACCATGGGCAAAATCAGATCCACCTTCAGATAATACATGGAAATTAGGACAAGTATTGTGATCTTCTTCTAATAAAACAGCTTTACTACAATCAGTAGGTGCTGATATAATTGGTAAATCTTGTAATTTATTATATGCTTCTCTTGAGATCTGAAATACCATCAAACTTTATATAGAATCAATCTAAAGTTCTAGAAACTGCAATTAAAAGCTGATTTTATTGTTGCTTTGAGCAGTCAATTAATGTTCACATTTATAAGATATTTCGGTTAAAAAAAATAACAACTATACACTACAAGTGATCAAAATTGACCAAATTCATTAAAATTACAAGCTTACCTGAAAATGTCATTATTAAGACAGAAACATTTATATTTACAAAATTGTATTTAAACCTGATGAAGAGGGATTGAAGAAAAGTGTTAGAATCAGGAATTGTTCATTCAAATACTGTTAATTCTAGAACAAGGTTTATGAAATCATGGACATGATCCAGGATAATATATATATAATATTTACCTTAAGAGATTCCTGGGATGTATTATATATAGATAATGTTAGAGGTAGTATATGAGCTTCAGTAGTAAAAACATAATCATCTACATTCAATATATGATCACTCTTCTCAGAAAATAATAAATACAAATATTTAAATGTTTCAGCTAATACGTATGAATCCATCCTGAAAATTAATCAGAGTAACTGAAGTATTAATAATCATGTTTTCTATACTTTGGTATGATGGAAAAAACAACAATGAGGTATATGTATAAAACATAAGAGTCTATGTAAATATATTTGAGTAAATATTACAGTCCCATATACATAAATGAACTGGCATATAGAAAGAAAATTGAATTAACATCCAGAATTTCTGGCAGAATTATACTGGAATAACCAAGCAGTTGTCAACATACATCAATTTAGTATGAGAAAGACAGGGGTATTAACTTCTTGAGACTTACTGATCTTCATGTTTACCAGATGTCACATCTTTTAAAGCAGCAAAGCCACATTTAACTCTAGCATGTTGATTCAAATTCTCAACCACTTTTTTACCAGCTTCTAGGTAATATGGATCACCAGTAGCCTGTAAGTTTTAATTATTTCATAAAACCAAAATATATAAATGTCATAAACGTCTAGCATGAAATGATTCTGCCTTAAAGCAGTTTTGCAAAAAATCTTTGGAAAACTACCAGAAAAATCCTCAGCAATTTCTAATATAATAAGTACAGATTTAAAATGATTAAAGTAATTACCTTATGTAAGAAATAGGTTGATTCTACAAATTCTGGTCTAAGAGGATGATGACCCCAATGAACTCTAAAATCTGTAGTAAATGCCTGTAATTAAATCACAAAAAATCTTAAATATCAGAATTTCAGTTAATACTTCATAGAAAGTGATCAATAACCCGCTACAAGAGGATAACTGATAACCTGATTTCTTGCTTTTGATATTAGTATGTGTCAGAAATTCACTGATTATACATACCTCCGGTAAAAAATTATGACGTTGTAAAACTTGGTATAACATTTCATGAGTTTCTACAGCAGGTTCAATATCACCTTTTAGAACTTGTAAACCTGGCCAAAATGCTAATAGTGCATCCATAAAATTTCTTGACACTGACTGTGGTTTATGCATGTGGACGTCAACTAACAATGGACCTTGACTAACATATTTCATTACGGCATCATAATGCTGAAATAATATCAAATTATTAATTATCATTTATAACAACAGATATTTCATAAATAAGCATGCTGGCTTATACTAATTGTCTATATCTCTTGTCAATGTATTGTACAAATGGAAGAAACTTAATATTAACAATAGTAAGTTACATGACTACATATTTACAGTTAATACATCTTGTTTTCACCTTCTTCAAATTTAGATCTTTTAAAACAAACAAAACAATGCTGATAATAAAACCACACAGCAATATACACAATAATAACTTAAATTTGAATTCAGTTTTGAGACAAGGACAAAGATATCAAGGACAGACCTTATTGAATCTATCTAAATAACTTTCATCTCCCAATAATATATATGCTTTTAAAACATATTCATAATAACTGTCTATACCAGCTCCTACACCACTTTCTATTAAAAAATAATAATAATCAAAATTAGCTGTATTAGACGTATAATAGAATAAAAGTGTTGATCAAAATGTCAAGAGGAATTTTCAACCAATATGGACCCTGTATCTATAAATATCTTATGATTAAATTTAGTAGTTTTGCTATTTCTCTGTGTAAAATCCCACACTTATGACAAGTTTTACTGGTCAGATTTTATGAAAAACAGCGGCATGAACATCTTTATAATATGATTCTATCTATGTAATAATATGTATATTTACCTCTTCTAATCCAATCTCCATTATGAATATTAATAACTGTTCCCATTAAATCTGTACTTCTGTGTCTTTGTTGCCATAAATAATCCATTGCTTTGTGAGCCTTTTCCTGTAAATATTAAAAAAAAATGTGACATCACAAATTCATTGTTTTTTTCAAAACACATTGTTTTTAGGCGAAAAGTTCATAATTTTTTTGGGGACAATTTAACTGTTTTCAGGGGAAAATTCATTGATTATATGCAAAATAAATGCTGATTACAAAAGTTTTTGTTGATTAGAAAGACATAGATAATGAATTGCAAAAGATTAGGGACAAACAAATTAACTGACAAAATATTTAACATTTACCTCGAACTGTGGATCACCAGTTAATCGACTTAATGCTGCAAATTCTAATATCATAGTACCAGCACAGGCTGTACAGGTATCTTTACAATTACTTGATATAACATTACTAATACCTTTCTTTAAATTAATCTATAACAAAATAGAGGATAGACTTTGTATCCTGACTAAAATTGATAGATTGCATTTCCCTCCAGGATACATGACAACAAAATTCTTGTGTCATATTGCAACAACGAAATATTTGACATACTACCAAATAGTATCTGCAGAAAAACATGACATGTAAAATTTGGCATAACAAATAAAACAACAATAAAAATATGTGTTGGGGCCTATACTATATTAATAATTTTATTACAACAACATAACTTACTCTAGGATATGGCATGCCAGTTGTTGTATTAAAAGCTGGTAATAACCTTAACCCTACTTCCCGTGCCATCTCTAATAACTCATCATTGTACCATTCTACACATTTCTTTTTACGTTTAAATGAGGCTGCTGCTACATGTCCACCTAGTAAACCCCTAAAATATAAATATATACCTTTGTTTAATTTCAATAGTCAGACAATAGGCTCATATGCCATATTTTCCTCAAATTGTAACTGTTATATAAAAATTCAGAATCCAAATTGAAATGCACTGGAGAAGACATTGTAAACAGTATTAGATAAAATAATACCATGGTACTATCAACTACTCATCAACTACTGATTTTGATAAACCCAAGATTAGTTTCTCATTCTGATAAAAAATATAATCTGTGAAGCTTAAAGTCAGCTCTATCAGAGGTAAAAAGATAATGATAACTATTTGACAAAAATTTCTTTCTTGAGAACTTACCCTAAAACTCTAATGTTTGTTTCAAAGACAGATACTATAACATCAGCATCAAATTTAGTATGGGCTATAACTAATTTAATAGCTTCTTCAAAATCATCTAACTTGCCTAATACCTGTATTCACAAAATAAATCAAATGCATTATAATCAAACAACTTAATAAATCATAAAATATTGTCCTCCATAAACCCATTATCTACTATTAGTAGCATTAACCTTAGATTTTCAAAGCAGACATTATGCTTGGCAGTAACAATTTTAATTATCTTATAAGTATGCAACAGTATAGATAAATTTGAATATTTGTATTTGTATAAAGTACTTACAGCTAGTGAGTCTAAACTATCAATTAATGATAATGTAAAACTGGAAATCAATTATATATTAATTAGTAAATATTTAATTACTCTTAATAACCAATTAACAAATCAAATCATAATTCAAAAATTATTCCTTACATTTTTAAGAGTGTGTAAAGAGGATATGTATCAGGGACATTGACAGTGATCAGTCAGACATCTTTCAAATCCACAAAAACTAAGCATAGTGATGTCATATACTGTTAAAAATTTCTATATATACAGAAACAACAGAAAAAATCTAACAGAAAAATTGAATGCTGGAAACAGAAGCTGTAAATGGCTCTGGTACACAAAAAAGCTATAAAAAGGCTTCTCTACACCCTTTAAACCTAATCAGTTGAGAAGATGCTCCAGTTTCAAAAACTCTCATTTTAGTGTACAAGCGAAAGCCAAATCACACTCAGTAATGAGTATAATGTTTTAAGCACTTACTTTCCCAAACTATCATCAACATCACCCCTACTAGGTTGTGTACCTCTATATCTTCCTTTACAGCTTAGTGGCATTAACTCATCAGCTGGATAGGCATTATTCTAAAGATTAAAAAAATGTAGATGTAGTTTACTGACATCAGACAAATCAAATACTGATAAGCAAATAGACTACTTACTATAAGATAACATACATAATTTTTTGGTAATATTAAAATAGAAGTTGAATCATGTTCTTGCTTCCAGTTCTAATTCTACTATTACTTTATCACTCTACAGTTCATGTTTTGGGTACTTTTGGGTACTGGTATTGTACATAATTTATTAAGGCAAATCAATTATTCAGATAACCAACTCTCCAATTAATGAATAAATACTATATATGGTATTCCTCACTTACCATGTAAGATTTGTATGCATGATCAAACATTTCTAAAACTTGATTCCTGAAAAAAAAAATGCAGGTCATGACATTATCATGGCATAAACTAAATCCATACCAATATACTATCTCTTCTATTAAAAAAAGTTCAGTGGTCAACTTATAAGATTTTATTACCTTCAACCTCTAGTGGCTAGTTTGACTGAAGCACAGAAGTGATCATGCAACTAGTATTTGACTGTGTTATTATGTAATGTAAGTTGTAACACACTGAAAATATCAATAGACTTATAAGTTGGGGTTTAATTCTTATTGATTTACTTTCACAAAAATAAAGGTGTGAGGCGACCTAAAAATATTGACTGCGATTTTTATCAGTGGTAAAGAAAAAGGCTCTTTCCTAATTACAAAGTCTTTGACAACAGATCAAATTTATTGCATACTCTTATTATGGCCTGCATAAGCAAAAAATGGCAAAGTGTACTTATATTAATTGTAAATAATATATAAGATATAGTCTACACCTAATACAATAATAATGTAGATAACTCACTTCAGTTCTCTTTTCTCATAAGCTGTCATTGCTTTGGTGTTGTCAGAAAAAATAACAACAATTAGAAGGATGACCACCATTTCGGGGAGATTTTGTGAATCCATACTCGACTTGGATGTTTGAATTACTGGATTCTACAAAAGTCCTTCAAAACTGGAAGACGTCAAATTTACAAATTCTTTGATCTGCAGTATTTTTGTTTTCTTTCAAGAACCTGCCATGTTGTCAATTCACTACTCTCGCGTGAACATGCGTGATTTTTAAGTCTCAATTTTCAAGACGGATTTGAACACTACAAGAAAAACTGGATATTCAAGATCGACGAGTTGACTCTACTTTTGCTTTATACATACTTTTGTTAAGTTAACTTGTTTATGTGTAGGCCTAGTATGTCGTCAGTTACCCTATTTTCAAATTTCACCCAAATATATAAATGTCACATGTCAAGATCGATATGTGCTAATGCTCTTTATAGATATAATCTTGTAAGAAGTTTATCAAATATACAGTTTCAGGTAAAACACTGAAGAAAGTGTCATTGAATTGATTATGTTTGTCCATTCTATTCCTTTTGATGTTCTGACTCAATCAACCTTTCTTCTGATTAATTTGAGCTGTAATGTAAGAGGCTGGGTTTTAAGTTTGAGGTCTTCTAATCAATGGCAGTAATTTATATCTCCAAATGCAGTCATTGCAGATGACATTAATATTTAGAAAGCAACAAGATCGTTAATGTACATCCTATTCCTAGTTCCCATCCCAAGAGCATAGTTGAGAACAGTTTCAGTTATACACTTAATCATCACAATAATGCAGTCAAAATTTTTTGATCAAGTTTTCTGAAATAAGAATGAGAAGTTATTCTTGGCCAACTTTATAAAAGATATCAGTAGGGTGTCAAGGACTATAATAATGATATAATTTATTTTCAGGCGAATTCAGCTTATGGTGCAAAACCCTTCCAATTTTACTGTCCTTCATCCAGAGTATCACAATATCAACCTGATCTATACACCAGAGAATCTCCGTTTAAATCAAATCATGTTTCTTACTCTTCTTCAACATCACCAGACAACCAGTCAAAAAATTCTGTACCAGCAAGTCCATCTGGGTCAGATTTACCTTCACCAGAACAATTACAAAATATTGAAAACAAACTCAGTCAATTTGTAAGTAAAATATTAGAGCCAGTTTCTGTATTAACATTTATTTTTAGACTCTTGGTAAGCTTAACACACTAAGTTTTAGACCATGTATTGGAGACTGGAGCTGAAGTTAATGAGTAAATCTGATTTTGGTGGAGAAAAGTAAAGATGTCCCAAAGAAGCTTCAGAAAAATGTTATCAAGCCAAAAATACCTGCACGTCTAATAGTAATATTGAATATTGAAGATATCACAAGCCTCCAATGATTTCTATTTTCAGATTAAATTATTCCTTGTATCGAGCCCAGATGTTCCTATCAATGGTAAAACTATAGTTTGTATTAATAATTTAAGTGGAAAAAATAAAACATATAAGTAAGTACTTTCTGCCTTCGCTGTGTAGAATTTGACTAATGTCCGATCAAAGCAAAAAGTTTTTTGAATTTTTATTTTTTTCTGTATTTTTTATGAGAATTGGAATAGTAGCCTCAAAATAGTAGTTAGCCTTAGAACACCTTTACAATGATAAAAATATAATTCTTGTAAGTTTACATGGAAGAGAAACACATTTCTATCCTAGAAATATCAACTCAAAAAAGTCACAAATTTTGGCCGAATATTGTCCTATTTAAACTTTGAAAACATAATGTATGCCAATGGTTATATTTTTATCAGACTAACAGTACTATTTTGATGCTATTCCGATTCTCATAAAAATAATGGTTGAAAAAATTTAAAAACACTTTATTTTGCTTAGATAATTAGTGCCTTTGAATAATATTTAATTATACAATCATGCATTTGGTTTTACTGACACCTTTGATCTTGACCTTTGATCATGGGTTTTGTTTTAATTTATTGCAAGTTTAGATGAAACTTCAAATATAGAATATCTCAAACCTGATTTTATTCATTTTATTACATTTCAGAGGTGTACTAAGTTTTACTATACAGAAATTGTTATTAAGATTGTATGCACATTTTAATTATTTGTCAGTAAATGTGGAAGTAATCAATAGCAGTACCAATATAGCAGATGGAACAGTGACTATAGACTGGAAATTATCTTATATTTCTAATCTACAGTACATCAAGACTTTTATGCTGAAAAATAGATTGTGAGTACTAGTAAGGCCAATCCAATTAAAATAAGATTACAATTTCACTTTGTTATTATTTTTCATCGATCTCCATTGTAATCTAAGATTTAAACCCAGGTCACATACTGTTGATGTTCATTTCAACCAATCACAAAGCGTCATGCCGAAAACGTGTCTAAATATGACCTATGAATTATGGGATAGAGATATGTGACTGCCGATACATGCTTGTAAAAATGATTTTGTTGGAGAGTGGTGCGTGATTGTCTGCTATAAATAGCTTGAAAAGTCACCAGCACATGACCTAAAAAATCTTGTTAGATTACAATGGAGACCAACAAACAATAATAACAAAACAAAATTGTAGTTTTATTTTAACTAGATTAATAAGGAATGTCTATCGACCTATTGGTTTCAACTTATTTAAGACAAACTATAAATATTTTTACTGTGAAATTCGTTTAAATACACTGAGTTCAATTTCAATAATAATAATAGAGTTATTTCCCTTGATCATTCAATACTCTTCAGAGAAAGATAGAAAGTACTTAATACTATGGTCATGGTCCTAACATTTAGCCGAAAAAATAAGATAGCTGTAATAGATCTTCCACTTTTGATTTTGATAATTTAGATGTGCTGATTTTCTTCCAAGATTGTTTCTTAATGTATACCATTATTTTTAGGGAAATATATGGTATATGTACAGCTAAGGTAAAAAATGATGGTCTTATACACACTCTTTATTTGGAGAGAAGAAAGGTTTGTACTTGTATTTTATATATCTTCTGATGATTTTTTGATATATTTAAATCAAATCAATTTTAACTCTGATAAAAGTACTGCCTCAAATTATTTTCTCTCTCTTTAAATATAGATATTTGTGAACATTCTGGTAAGATTCAAGATATGAACATGTGCACACTTAAGCTTAAGCGACACTTGAGACTTGATGTGTATTATTTTCGATCATATTACTATCAGAAAAGCCTGGTTTTTGTTCATATTTAACAGCGTCTCAGGATAGGCACAAATTTCATTCTCCAGCTCACCCTCCAAACATTCTTCAAGTCAAATTGAATTGCTATCAAAATAATAGAAAATGAAACGAACCTATAGTTTGATTGGATTGCCTTGAATGTTTTGAAGACTTTTATGTATACCAATAATATCTGAGAGTTTAAACTATTTCTAATGAATATAATATAGTTGTATACATGTATATATAATAGCTATCCTGTAATTTTTGAAAGACTATTATATGTAAATTGATATTCACAGATATTCAGATATACTATTGTATGATGGTCAGATAAATGACCTATTTCAGTCTGTGACAATCTGAAGATCACACGAAGTGAAACTCTGATTAACAACATGTTTCTGGTTGTTTTAATATTTCTATTTTATTCATATATGAAAAGGATGAGAAGTTTTTTCTATATAAGCCCTCTCCCTCCTGCTCTTCCTTACTACTTCGATATAAATATATAAAAAAATAATCTATAAATTGATCCATACTGCCTCTTTTATATCTATAAATATATTGAATGTTTAAGTCTACTCAATAATTTCACTACATATTTTATAGGTAATGAATAGTGAACCAGCAGCAGTTAGTTAGAAGAACAACAAAGAATATAAAAAAAGTAAAAAATGCAATCAGGATGTTTAATTGAGAACATATGGTGACACTTATTTTACATTTTAGCAGATTTCAATAAATAAACTTGAGTCTGATACTTGATTCTTGATAATCTGGGGTAGATTTACAAAAGGACAAACAATGTGGAAAATATTGGGGCAAGAAAGAACAAATTGTGTTTATGAAAGAGACTTGTTTCTCTAATATCTAATATTGTTCAGGACTTTTCGAGTTAATAATTTAGTTATTGTCAAGGAAGCCGGATTGTGAGGCTATAAGACAATTTTGATTGTATAGTTATTGCTTTGCTTAATATAGATGAGATCTTGAATGAGTTTGCGTTTTATTCTTTTTTAATGAACTTTTCGGGGTATTAAATTGGTTTGTGCAAGAATGAAATAAAACCTTCTATTTTGAGGATATAAAAACTTTAGGTTTAGGGTCTGAAGATTGCTTGAACATTCGTCTATTTGATGACACCGCCAGCTAATCAAATTTCTGCCCTTTCCAAAACACTGATTGTGATTTTGGAACGGTATCTAATGCCATAATTCGGCTCAACCTTCGCCAATGTTTGTTAGTTTCCGTGGGTCGAACGTGAGTCGATCATTGACTCGATAGCTCTATCGTGAAAGGCTGACAAGAGCAGATAACACTGTCTGAAAATTTATTTTGGTTGGAGTTTGTGAATCACAAAAATCTCAAAATTCCGTCAAAAATACCGCAATCTAGGAATTCCACTTTCTATTTTTATATATATTTTTTCTGCATATGGCAGTCTCCAGAAAAGACGAGTCGTTGCAACGTGTCAATGTTTTGGTCGTGTATTGCGTAAACATTGCGTTACGTATTCGTGTACAGTGCACGAACCCACCGCAAACGCACCGCTCAGTTGCGTGGCACTGAAATGGCACGACAAAAATGCAAGTTTTCACGATCGCTAAATAATGAGACTGTTAAAAAAGCGTCATTGTTTCATCGTTACTGGATCGGTCTCAAACAAGTCAAATAATAGCTTCTCACTGTCCTGAGATCCATTTCGCACACCACGATTGGATATTCATCGTTACACACTGAAATTCTCTGATATCTTCTAAAGGTTTTAATACGACTGTTGATCTCTTTGCGATCTGTTTTCGATTAGTCAATTTCAGCTGTCATGTTCTGATCTTCTCTTCAGTTACGATCATACGTTCCTCTTGGTCCACGTTTAGGTGTTTGTTTCGACTTAATGGAAATCTAGTTAAATATGGGTTTCCATATTTTCATTTATGATAATGAAAATGCTATTACTTGTATGAATAGAAAGAAGATGCCAGTTTGTCTCACATTTCCACAATAAATTAGCTAAATTAGAATAGAATTACCGGCAGAATTCCAATGAGTGACAGATCAAGAAAGATCAAAAAGTATTTTGCTTCTTTAACCAGACTTTACATACATGAGAGTGTTATGATTAAGAATACATGGTAAGTCATTACAAGTTTGTTAGGCTTTTATTTAAGAAAGGGTTAGGGTTAGGGTTAGGAATTTAAAGTTGTAATATTGCTGTTAAGCAATATTACAAAAGCACAGGCACAGGCATGTAGGCGTAACCTCTAGTGATAAAGCAATGTTTGTGAAGTTAGTTTAAAAGAATGATATAGAATATTTGAAATGCAAATCCATTATCTTCCGAATCTGAAATATATATAAGAAAAATACTGGTTCCAGAACATTAATAACCATGGAAATCATGATAAATATTTTTACTGGTGAAACGGACGAATTTTCCTATATTAAATGAAAAGGAAAATGCGTATTTCATATAAAAAATATATATAATTTATTAAGTGAAAATAGTATACATGTATGATATTTTTGCGAGGAAACTCTTCAATTGCAAGTTATCATAAATAAGAATTATTAATTAAAGGAAATGTACTAAACCTATGGAAGAGGGATGGGGGGTAATCTACCACGGACTAAGATATCATTTAGATTTTTATTACGGGTATAGGCGATAACTAAATCATTTGTAAAGACTGTTGGAAATTTTTCCTGCAATTCTTTGTAAAGACGGATAATTATTCGGGGAACTTGACCAGCTGTGTTGTTGTATTGAATAACAAACAAAATTTGGAAATCAACTTGGATGTTCATTCCTAAAGGATGCATGGTTTGTAATTTGTTTATCCAATAATTTTCGCGAATGAGTCGAATTTTCTTTGTATCAATGCCAGGTTGTTCGTATATCTGTTCAATGGGAATGATTTTCAGGTCTGTTAATTGGTCGGGTTGATTGAAGTGTTTTGAAACGGTTTTATTAATTTTTTTTTTAAGTTGATGTCAGACTTATGTTGATTGAAACGGACCCTTAACGAATTTTTTGTCTGCCCAACGTATTGTTCGTCACATTTTGTGCAAGAAATGAGATAAATAATATTTTTGCTGTTGCTGTTGAGTTTTTCATTTACTTGAAATATGGATTCTGTGCGTCTATTTCGGAAAGAATTTGTTGGTAAAATGAAGGGACAGGTTTGACAGCGAGGGTTGTTACAAGGATAAACTGAAGAATTTGGTATTGGCAAAAGAATCGAATTATTTTTAGCAGAGATTTCAGCAACTGTTGAGCTTTTAATACCTCTCAAGAACCTTCTAGAATATCCACGTTCGCGCAATTTTTGGAAAACAATTGAACAAGCCTCCTCGAAGTCCTTCTTGCGCGTACAAATTCGGTGAAATCTCAAGATCTGCGACTTTATAATGCCAGGGTTAGGGTTACTCCTATGTAGAGAAATATGTCCCGTACATAATCTTAAGGGTTTAACTAATAATATCGCGCCATTATAAACTAAACACCAAAAATTAGGCATAACTGTTTAATTAACAATTAGTACTCTCCTTTTTTTAATTAACCCATTTAAAATAAATTTAGTTTGATCAAGAAGATAAATAGATATAAATAGTATACTTAAGAAAAAGTTTCAGATATAATTTACGACGTTTTTTTACATTTTTTTTTAAAAATTTCGACTTGGTGTAAAATCACATCCTAGTCCACAAGAACAGAAAAAAAAATCTCATATCTTAATCACATTGAATATTTCCATTGTCACGATTGTCAATTCAGCTCCTACAAAAGTCCCTTGGCATGCTCTGAGAGTCTAAGGCATATTTTAAAGAAAAAAATGTGTACCGATTTCCAGCTGTCATAAAATAATCAGAATGGTCTTTCGTTAAAAATTGATATCACTGTGTTATCCGGAAGTATCAGCTCTTCTTCTCTTAAATCCTTCTGGACGTCTCTGAGTTCATTCCAAAGTTGGTCAAATACAAGACTAGATACTTTTGGTTTTTGTATTGGCTTATCTAATTGCATTCGTTGAATTTGCGACATTTCTCCTGTTATGGCTCTTGACATGGATTGTATTTGGAAAGCAGTTACGAGAGAACTGATCATTATCAACAAAACAGTTGCTATTAAACATAATTGAAACAGTTTCACCTTCTCCTTCAATTTGTTGAATTTAGCTTGTAGTCTTGTAGTATGAATTGTTGGATGATAAATTGGTAATAATGCCCCCATTGCGTTGGTTTGTTTCTCCTCCATATCTAAACAATGAATATAGATAAACAATAATATTAGCAAATTTTAAACAAAGTGTTTCGCTTCTGAAAATCATCTGAAATATTGAAGAGAGAGTCTCATATTGCATTCCACTATTACTTCCGAGAATCAGTTATGAAATGATTTATTAAAGACAATACCTACAGCTTACCTATTGTTCGAAGTGCTGGTAGATAAATAAACTGACGTAAATAACATGCAACAGATGTAATATAACAGATGTTGGTAAAATAAAAATGAATCCAATATTTTCTGGTGAATATGTATTTTATATTATGTTATAACATTCATGAAATCCTTACTAACAGAAAAATATTTAATGACATAACTTATATGACTTTACTGTTACAGCAACATTGTCTAAATCCTGAAAGGAAGGGAAAGTTTAGTATACGATAAGAGTATAAGATTCATTCTGGCAAAAAATTCCAATATTATACGCAACCTCCCATTATGTAGATCATTAAAGGGATTGTTTTGGGTTTTTTTTACTGATATTTGTTTCCTGGGAACACTGATAGCACCAATTTTCACCATTCTAATTTTCAATCAGATCTTTGTTGGTCTCACAATGCTACTTTTGAAGATGTCCATATCGCAAAGGCCTTATTATCAGCAGTTTTTGCGGTAGTGACGTCATAAAACGCTTAACCATCTACCTACTTAAAATTGGTGCAAATTGATGCTATCAGTATCCCCGATATACTAAAAAACGAAAACCTCTTTACAGTTCCTTTAAGGTAACACGACAACTTGTTGATATCAATACTCTTTGTACTTACGGTCGCTTTATCAAGTACAACAAGAGTATTAACAAGTAAGAACAAATCGCTAAACGTTGTTTGAAAAAGCAATATATTACATTACTCAAAATATTGATTTAAAAGTATTTCAAATAAAAGTCAGCCGATATTCGCCACTTCGCCCTCAAGTTAACCCTGTGTGTAGTCTGTAAATAAAGGGTTAATAGGTTGATTTATAGGCCCTACATACAGATGAAATGATGCATTACTGTAAGCTATATTTGTACTTTTCAGAAGTTGCTAGAGATGAAAATAATTCATTAAAATTTATACCTTATATATCTATATATATACATTTTGATTAACATTGTGACTCAAATTTAATTAAATTAATTAATTCATAATTAGTTCATACTTGTTTCATAGAAACGCCACTAATAAGCCTTGGGGACTAAAATAAACAAGACAAAACAAGGCACTAGGTATATTTATTACACAACTTTAGGCCGATGTCTTTCACGATACATCTTTTTTTTAGGCGGAAGTCCAAAAGCTCCAACCTCAACTCAAGTAAAGATCTGCGACGTTTCCAGAAAAAATGCTGACTAATAACTACTGTTTTATAC